AGGACAGGTGAGGAAGGGTTTAGGACAGGTGAGGAAGGGTTTAGGACAGGTGAGGAAGGGTTTAGGACAGGTGAGGAAGGGTTTAGGACAGGTGAGGAGGGGTTTAGGACAGGTGAGGAGGGGTTTAGGACAGGTTAGGGATCACTCCGGTCATTGTTCGTACTTCGTCTCACTGGAATATTTACCAACAGATCAACGCACAATCAACCCAAACAGCACATCTCTTTCTCCACATTAAGTGTGACACATTAGAATGGACTACTCTTGTCTGTCACATACTCTTCTTGTCTGTCAGATAAGTGGCGCAACTGAAGCGGTATTGCGCTAAAGGGAAATTATTTTGACCGAAGAGATTTAGATTTGCTTGCTAACGGGAACTCTGACGTCGCCATTGTGTATGCTTCGCGGATGCACTCGGCTGCTCGGGTCTGCTCGGTCAGCTTCCGGATGAGGAGGCATTCCTTCGACCAACTTACAGTAGATAACATTACAAACATTTTTAACAGGAGCCATAATAGCGTAAATAATGTTTGTTTTGGCAGTTATAACTGAATGTAATGTTTTCTACTTTTGTACATCTGGGAAGGCATTTGCCTTCATCAGATGGAAAGTGTCTTGACAAACAACTTAAGTATTTATTAAAGCTATGCAGGGCATGCAAGCGAGCAAACACAAACAAGAACAAACAAACAAGTGAAATGAAGAATAAAATTGAAATTGTAATATTGTGGTGGTTCATCTTATAATTCAGTCTATAGAATGCACCAGACAGCATCTACAGTAAGACCTGCGAGAATCTAAATGTTCTAGGGGGGGGGGCCCCCAAACACTTCGTGCTTCATTTCGTCCGCGCGCATTTTTCAGGGCGATCTCTATTGGGCTCAGGGCCATCTGTAAATTAGCTTAGATGGCCCACAATCCTTAATGTCATGCACTGAAATAGGAGCACATTAATGTAATAATCCATTCCCTGCACTCTTAATGCAGATCATTTGCTGCTTCATATCGTGTCTAACGCCCTTCAATTGTGTTTTATTGTCAGACTTTATAGATTGGTTTTATCTTCAGTCTACTGTACATGTTCTACTTTTTCATCACATGTCAGACGCTTTTATCCAAAGCGACTCACATACTCAATACTGTGGACAATCCCCACAGGAGCACTTTGGGGTGAAGTGTCTCAGGGACACAACGACATGCTGACTGCAGTGGGGTTTGAACCTGATCCCAACACCAACGCACTATCCACTGCGCCACACGCCTCCGTCATGTTTAAATGATAGTATTGTTTATTTCTACTTCTGTGCAATGCCTTGTTGTGTTTTGTGGCTTGTATGCTGCTGTATGTTGGTACCTCTAATCTAATGTTATTATGCTGCTAAAGTCTTTCTCTGATCTCCAGACCCCGGTAACAGCAGGGGGTCTTCTGGAACCAGGATGCATTGTGCTTTGATTATAATATATATACTTCAGTGTTTAGCAATCAGAAGTCCTTTCTGCAGTGAAGTGAAGAACGCTGAATTAAAAACATCAGCACAGTATTTCTTCATCTGAGGACAGAGATGATTATCTCAATCCCAAAATACCAAATGTTTAACAAACAGTCGGGGCAGAGCGGACGTCAGATTTACAGTTACATCATCCTGGAGAGTTCCCGTGGAGAGAGAGAGAACAATCCCTCTTCTATAACCACATCACAAGCCTTCCTTTATTAACTCAGCCTAAATCTTTCTGTGTCCGCCCTTTTTCTATTTAATAGCATCTCAAGATGTTTCCCCATGAAATAGTGATAACAACCAGTTTAGAAGACGAGGATACAATTAGTAAAAGGGCTTTGAATGATATAATTACATTGAGGAAGCATATGGGAAAAACAAGCGTTATGGTTTGGTTGGTGCTCAGCGCGGGTAACGGTATACTTAGTGTAATGGCAGTGTTAGCATCACCCATCAGCTGAACTAAAGCATGGTGTCCCTTTAAGTTAACCCTGACTGCCGCGCGGGACCACAAACTACTCCGTCAGCATGTTTTAGATTTACCTTCACGTTGTGCAAGCCTTTCTCAAAGAGCGACAGCATCTCTGAGAGCTTGTTGTCCGAGTGCACGTTGTACACGGTGCAGCAGCGCTCCTGCAGCAGCCCGATGATGAACTCGTTCTCAATCTGCTCGTGCATCTTGAACTCCTTGAAGGTGGCGCACAGGGACTGGAGGAACGAGCGGAAGTCATTGTTGTTGGAGAAGTTGGTTTTGGACAGCTGTGGGAAAGCAAAGAATAAGATGCTTCATACCTGTTCATACCTCACCCTCACACTAGGTAATAATACTTCTACTGGTGCTTTTGGATTATAACATGAACCTTCCTTTATCCCACAGGGGGACATTCAGTTTTTAGATACACAGTTAAACCACAAAGCACACAGGTGAGTTGCACACATGCCTTGTTAACACTAACAGTGTTACTCTATACCAGGGGTGTCCAAACTATGGCCCGTGGTCTATTTTGGATCGCCCCTTAGCAAATTCAAATAATAATAGAATATATTCTACAGTGGGATGCATGTGTTAATGAGCCCAACGTCAAATACATGCAGTCATTTCAAAAGTTGAAAACATTTTCTAACAAATCTTAGTTGATGAGAAAAAGCCAAATAACTTATTTCCATAACAAGCTGGAAATACACCCTTCATTGTTCTCCTTATTATAATCAATCTGAAGCTTCTGTTTTAAGGGATGAGCTGCAACAGGAAGTGAAGCCCTAAGGAGAGCTGTGAGGTAGCATCATTCTCCTGCATGTGATTGATTTAGCTGAATGATAACCCTACCTATGAGGCAGTACACCTCTAGTGAGCGGCCCAGCCCTTTGTATGTTTTCTGTATTTGGCCCTCAGTGAAAACAGTGTGGAGCCCCTGCTCTATACGGGTTGTACAGGTAGGTTGCACACATGCATCTGGAGAGGATCCAGAGCGAAGAGGCAGCCAGTCCCGCCGGCGCCAGGGAGCAGTTGGAGGTTCAATGCCTTGCTCAAGGGCTCCTCGGCCGCTACAAGGAGGTGACCTGGCTCCTCTCCAGCTAAAAAACACGAACCGGCAACCCTTCGGTTCCAAAACCAGTCCCTAAAGACGGCAGCCCCCAATGATTTCTATTAAGATTATAATAACTGGCAATTCCCAAATAAGTGGAAAGTATTCAGGCTCTTTACTTGAGTAAAAATAATAATACAAAACTCCTCAATTTCAAGTAAAAGTACTGCACCGAGAATGGTAGGGTAAAAGTACAAGTAAACCCGTAACCCGTAAAAGTACGATAAGTAAAATATACTTAGAGTTTTAGGAGTAAAAGTAGAGTTTTAAAAAAAATGGTAAAGATACAAATACAACAAAAATACAAGTTAACATTAGCAGCAAATATACACATTATCAAAGTAAAAACACATCTAAATAAAAAACGATATAAGGAACATACTGAGTACATTTGAATACTCTGCAATAGATCATTTCACCAACAACAGACATATACAGAAATATAAACTACAGACACATTGCGTAACATTTACACAACTGTGCCAAGTAGGGTTATAGAAGAGTACACACAAGTACTGGGACACGTCTGCTTGTTAACAGCCAGCCTGGATATGAACAGTGCTGATGTCTTTTAAAAACCTCCCTAAACAGTTTCAGGACACATTATAATCTGCGTTGTGATGCTTTAAGCACGTTGCACACCAACACCCCTTGTTAGTGAAGATAACCCAGTTAGCAAGCCTTCGCTGTGTGTCATCTTTAAACCGTATCATTAGCAACTAATACATGTTTCAAAATGCAGAGTACACATGTTTATACCCCGCTAACTACACGTTACAAGGCAAACCCCAGAATGGAGAGATAATATTATGACAGTCTGTTAGCTTCAACTACTACATCTAAGATGCTAGCTGTAGCAGTCAAAACGAATATACTAATATATTAATGTATTTAATGTATATACTAATGTTAATGTATTACGGTAGTTCGTATATATACTATGATCAGCTTCGAATGCTACATCCAGCTAGCATGTTAGCATTCGGAGCTTATATACTATCATAACAAGTTAGCTTCGACATGCTAACATGCTAGCTCGCGTGCACCCGTCCGTTGGTCATACACCGTCCGTTAATCCTTCATAAAGCTCCACATTAAAGACAGGGTTTATTATTAACAGTCACCTTATCGCAGTACAGGCCCACCAGCTGCTTCATCCGCCAGTGAGGGCCGGTAAACACGTCCACCTCGTCCGGGAAAGGAGACATCTTTACTGGGGCTCAGTGCGTCATCTGAACCGGAGGGGCGGTCACGTGACGAGAGTTATGCATCTGGAGTTACACAGCACAGTTTGTTTTTCTTAAATTACATTTAAATTTTTCTGGAAATCTAGTTTATAAACACTAAAAAGCACTTTGAAAATATTCAGTTTGAAGACTAACTATTATAATTATTATAAGTAAATTGTTTATGCGTCGATAAGAACAACACATTTCACAATGAGGAGTACGTATTATTGTTAAATATCAAAGAAATTTTTTTTAGGTGAAAAATAATTTGTCATCATTTTTGGATAAAGTCTATTTGTTGCCCGTCCAGGATTGGTTGGCGGTTGCTATGGAAAATGTCCACAGCAACAGTCACATTGTGGGTCGAGGATACGGCTGTCTTCGCCGGTGAAACATGACGGGCAGCTGTATCAACCAATCAACGTTCGAGATTTATAATGCTGGCCAATGAAAAGGCAGCAAAAGGAGAGCGCTGGGGCTAGTTGCAGGTTAGCAGAGACGGCGGCAGAGAAACAGACTAATGGTAAGCTAAATTAGCCACTTATCTTCATGTACACACTGATATCTACTAAATGAGGCCCGGTAATTATACTACTTATTGTTGTGTGTGCTGACAGGGTGTGTATCTTATGTTGGAGGGATCTATCTGTGTTTAGTCAACATATAACGGTGAGGCAAGCTAGGTAGCTACAGTGTGTTTTTACAGCATCACAGCCTGCTTTACTGTATCACAGCATTACTGTGTATTTATATTTGATTATCACAGGAAATACTACAGTTAGCAATATTACAAAACGGTACACTGTGTGCAGGTGTGTGGGACTATAAACCAACCCTAACCCCAGTGTATTCATACCATAAATACCATCTTCATAGCAGGCATCTGTTTGCATCTCACATATTTATTATTTCACTGTACAGTTTTCATTTTACACACTATTTCTAGCTCATGTTATTCTATTTTAAATGTATTTATTTTACATCTCCTGCATTACACAATCGGCTCTATTTCATGTCTACTCTGTTCCTTCTTGCACTATTGTTGTTGTTATTTTAAATGTGTTATTGTCCCAGTAGCTGCTGAGCTACAGATGTAACCCTAACCCTATGATGCTGTAAATCCATCAGATTTAACAAAACAGCCAGTGCTCCCTTTACTATATCAAGTGCATCGTTACAAAGCTAGACCTGCAACGAGAGGAGGAGGAGAGGAGGAGAGGAGAGGATAGGAGGAGAGGAGAGGAGAGGAGATGAGGTATGAGAGGAGGAGAGGAGATGAGGTAGGAGAGGAAATGAGATGGGAGGAGATGGGAGGTAGGAGAGGAGAGAAATAAAATAGAGGAGTTCCCAGTTAATTCTCTATTTATTGTATTTGCATTCCTTTTGTAAAGACTGAGTAAAGGACTTGAACTCCTTCTGACTTGATGCTCAAAGCCCGATCAGCTCTGAGATGTTTCTGAATGTCTTCGCAGACCCAGCACGAGGAGCCAGCTCTTCCACTAAAATGGAGAGGTATGAAAAGGTGAAGAAGATCGGGGAAGGTTCGTTTGGAAAGGCGATCCTCGTCAAATCCAAAGAGGATGGACACCAATATGTCATCAAGGAGATCGGCATCTCTGCAGTAAGGCTAATGCTACACCCCTCACACCTCACCCTCACCCTCACCCTCACCCTCACCCTCACCCTCACACCTCACACCTCACACCTCACACCTCACCCCTAACACCTAACCCTCACACCTCACAGCTCACAGATATCATCGTGAGCTCACCTGTGACACCTGTGGCTCCTTTCATCCCTGTGCTCCTGTTCTCAGATGTCCAGTAAAGAGAGGCAGGAATCTCGTAAAGAGGTGGCTGTCCTCGAGCCATCCCAACATCGTGCAGTACAAGGAGTCTTCACCCTCACCCTCACCCTCACCCTCACCCTCACCCTCACCCTCACACCTCACACCTCACCCCTCACACCTCACCCCTAACAC